ATTTCTTGAGCACCTAAGCATAATAGGTATGTTTTATCAATTATCTCTTTTATTTCACACAACACTGCTGTGGGGTTGGTACTCCCATTAGCTCCATTTAAAAAATCATAAAAACAGTATTTAGACACCTTAACTAATTTACCCAAGGTCACAGAGCTAGCAAGTGTCTACAGTGGGATTTGAAACCATGTAGCTGAACCCAAAACCTGTACTCATAGTCTACTACACATTTCTGCCTTATCCATTTTCTACTGAGACAATGACTACATGAATATGTATGATGTTGAGCCAATTATAATATCTTAGTTTGTAAGAAACACAGATGTGCTCAGCATGAGTTGGTAAATGGGCCTGAAACCACAGCGAAAAATGTGGAAAAAGAGAAAAGTCTCGCCGCTGCTCGGCATGTCTGGAATAACACCCACAATAACACAGCCTTGTTGCCCCTCTGCTAGCGAATAATCTTCTTTCCTGTGCTCAGCCAGGAAAGAAGTTGGAAAATTTCTCTCTTCTAATTGACCTAAGGAAATTAACCTCTTTTATGGCCCTCCTACCAACCTCATGCCATCAGTTTATTCATGGCTTCTGCAGACTCTAATCTCTGTTTTTCATGTCTGTTCCTGCCCACTAACTGTTGGTTATCCACATTTCATGTTTAAGGTCATTTAGTCAGATATTTGCGATCTAGCGGAGAGCATCCTGTTGGCATGGTTCTTTTGTAAGACCACATGGTGGCCAATGGCCATCTAGGGATGGCTGTCTTACACTTCACCTCTGGTCAAATCTGCTGTGTCCAGTGGGGCCCTGCCACAGGGTCTTCTGTCTGGATGGGGACACCTATACATTGTGGACACTCAGCTTAACAAGCTCCCCTGAAATACTGCTTTATATAGATCATGGAATAGTAATAAAAGGGGTGATCTAGATATACTTTACTTTCTTATTATTCTTGTACACAACAAGGATAAGCCAATAGCTTACCATAAAACCTAGAGAATGGAAAGTAAGCTGGCTGGTGGTTGGAGATTATACATATACATTTCTTGATCATCTTTCTATTCATTATTGAATCCATTATTCACAGAAGCTGCTATAATATTATCCTTTAAAATATGTGTAAACATGTTAGAGCATAATAAGTGATCATATTTCATATGCAACCTAATTTCTAGTTACCATCTCTGCATGTGCTTAGAAATTACAGTTAATCATATTAAATTTTTCACATCAATCCTAACTTTATAACATCTCTCCCTTTTTTTCATAGACTGGACCAAATTTTGGTTTAGATAGTATTGTCACAATATCAGTAAGATTAACTATAATAAACCTCAGTGTACATAGGGAAGGTTTATATAAAGTCAGTAGAGCAAATAAACTTCTGTACATTGAAGTTTGTTCTTTTTCTTTTTTCTCCACTTTCCAACACTGAATTCCAACTGTTAGTTTCTTTATCTTTTCTAATATTGTAGATGTCTTTTGCCATGAACATGAATTCTCCTTAACTTCCTTTTAATCTCATTTCAATATAAGTGGCATTGAATTTATATCCCTACTTTATATTTGATTTTTATCCTGAGAGCATGTCTACCTCTGTTGGAAAGATGTATATATTACAGATAGTAAATTTCAGTTCTGATCATCCGTATAGTAGAGTGCTTCTTCTGTCAGTAGTAATCAGAATCAGCTTGATGCAAAGACTTGAGCACTAAACTCTTTCAGAGCCTAAAGAACAAATTATATGCTTGTTTCAAACACTGGTGGCTATGGAATTTACAAAATCATTTCTTTTGAGTAAGCAAGATTAGACTATTCTGAAGGTAATATAATTAAGATGTGCTGTCTTAAAATATTCATTAAGTGTCATGTTAAATATTGGAAAAGGTCACCATACATGAGGTGATAAAAAAAATGTAGCATAAAGATTAGGAGCTTTAAACACAGCCTGATCTGAGTTTGAATCAGAAGTCCACTAACAACGATACACTCTTGACCCAGTTACATATCCTCTCCCAGCCTGCATCTCCTGATTGGGAAATTGGGGTAAGTAACCTCAATTTTATCATTTTGACTTAATGATTATATATATAATCATATATACAAAGTTTATACATCAGCTGTATGGCATATAAGAAATATGTTACCATCAATAGATGAATGGATAAAGAAGATGTGGTACATATACACAATGGAATACTATTCAGCCATAAGAAAGAAACAAATCCTACCATTTGCAACAACATGGATGCAGTTGGAGGATATTATGCTCAGTGAAATAAGCCAGGCAGAGAAAGACAAATACCAAATGATTTCCCTCATTTGTGGAGTATAACAACGAACCAAAACTGAAGGAACAAAACATCAGCAGACTCACAGACTCCAAGAAGGGACTGGCAGTTACCAAAGGGGAGGGGTGGGGGAGGGCAGGTCTGGAGGGAAGGAGATGGGGATTGAGGATTGAGGGGCATTATGTTTAGTACTCATGGTGTGAGGGGTCACGGGGAAAACAGTGTAGCACAGAGAAGGCAAATAGTGACTCTGTGGCATCTTACTACACTGATGGACAGTGACTGCAATGGGTTATTGGGGGGCAGAATTGATAATATGGGTAACTGTAGTAACCACATTGTTTTTTCATGTGAAACCTTCATAAGAGTGTGTATCAATAACACCTTAGTAAAAAATCAAAAAAAAAAAGAAACATGTTAAACACTGTCTCTCCCCATTTTCTTTTATTAAAAATACCACATACTGAGGAGCATTTTATAAGCCTTGGCTGAGTTTTATAAAGTTTTAAAAGACTCTGGTTTGAATTTTGAAACTGCCTACTTTAAGTGAGGCTATCTTATAAGATGTTTTCTGAATTCATGGCAGAAATATAATACTGTCATATGAATGAAAAATCTAGAGGTAAGGTGGAACCTGGATAATAGAATAAATAAATAAATAAAAGAAGTTTGATTGAGGAGGCAGGGGTTACCTAAAATAAACAGCTCCTGATTCTCAATTGTATCCAAGATTTTCTCCAGTCCCTTTTTAGCCTGTATAATCCAAATTAAGACAAAACTACAATGACAAAACCCCTTAAAAGACTTCAGGAATATCTTTTTGAATAAGAACTGCAGTTGCATTCATTTCAAAACATAACTATCTCACTCTACACTAAACACCTCCTTCAGTGGTCAGATAGATCAAGTGAAAGCATCCGATAGGAGTTCACTGGGGAGGGAACTACCAGCAGCTCTGAGCTTGGCACAAGGAGTAGTCTTTAAGACAGAGATGTTTCAAGCAATGTACCACTGTGTTACTAGGAAATGTGGTCCTGTTTGGTTAATGATGCCTCTTCCTGTTTATCAATATTGCTTACAAAAAAAAAAAAAGAAGCCTACAACTCAGTGATGGTAACTGTAGGCAGCACACGTCTGTCAGATACCTTTGAATCAGCTGAGAAATCACCTCCCCACAGAAAAGAGACTGAAGTGTCAGTGTGACAGGGGCAAATGGCTGTCCCCAGGATTGGGCTAAAGACAGACAGACAACCAGCATGGGTATACTAAAAAATATTTTATATCTGTGGGGGAACAATAACATCCACGTCGGCCTTAAAAAGCCCTCCAGAGAATTTCAGAAGGATAGCCGATTAATATAAACTGGGCTCTGACATCTTTGTAAAATGTCCCATCTCAGGATACCCATAGAAGGAAAGGCGGAATCATCATTTCATGAAATATGAGTGCTCATTCTAAAATGTTCACTTAAGATGCCATTATAAATCTTTATGCAAAAGGAGCTAGATATTTATGTTGGGATTTAGCATAAGATCAGTTATTGAAATTCAATTTGTGTACTACAGTGACATGTACTAATATTTTAAGTAATGTTTGTTTCAGTATTTGAAAATCATTTTAAAGTGTAAGTACTATATTATAACAAGGTAAGTGGTTACTATTATTGGCTAACATGCTTAGGGTGCTGATCCATCAATCACATACAAATAAAGTGATAGAATTATTTTACTGTTCTTGATTATGTGGAAACTTAGGGCTGAAATTATCAGACTGTATTTATATGTGCAAAGTAAGGGACTAGAAAAAGTTCAGGTAATTAAACCTAACTTTGGAAAAAAGTTGCCTCCAATCTCTCTAGATATATTTTTAATAAACTTATAGGGAAAAGAGGTTTAAAAGAAATAATATGGACCAACTTATTTAAATTACCCAGATAACTGCCTACACTATGTAGAATTCAAGCTTAACCTCAATTCACTCTACTTTGATAACAAAGAGCTACCTTTTCTATAAACACCTAAACTTAATCTCCTACTAAAAAATTGTCCTTTCAAAATCAAGCATTTTAGGGAGAAGTTAATTTTTCCTTACTTTCCTTTTTATTCATCTATCTCAAAAAAGAAATCCCTCCCTTGTATAAGAACTATAAATCAGGTCAGTGGCTTATTCTTTTCAGTTCATTTTTCTTAACAACTACATGAAAAACTTTATCATTTAAATTTTAATTTCTAAATGGACTCTAATATAATATTCAGGGGGTTAGTCCTAAATCCTTACACACAGAGGGAGCTCAGGAACAATGTTAAAGTAGAAAGCTGCACAAAATCTCAACCCTCATTTGCAAATTTTCTTTCCATCTAACTGAACTTTGGAGCTTTTAGACTCAGAGATTTTAGCATATGACATCAACAAAACACTTCAATCAAAATCAGTTACCTTACTGCTGCACAGTCCTCTAGATTATTTAAAAGGTAGAATAGGAAATTAACTTTCTTTTCATATTTGCTTTTATTTTCTTTGGAAGCCAGGCAGAATTCTTAAATTTCAAAAGAAATTGCCTTCAAATTTCATTATCCCCAACGCCAGTTTTCATTTTAGGACACTTGCTTACAAACGAAGGCTTTTCTTGATATAAACAGTCACTTGCTGCAGTGCAGAATGTCAGTTTAGTCAGAACTTTGGATGCAGTCACCCAGATGGAGCGGCGCTTACCTTAATTGAAATATTCTCTGTGAACGAGGTGAGAAATCAGTCGAATCAACCGTGAACGGGGTGGGGAGATCGAAGTTTTCAATCAACACTCTCCAAGTAGCTGCATGCTGCGCTTCTTCTTCTTGTTTATGTTGAGCCCCTCACTGTCTACAAGGACAAAAAGATAAGCTGAAATCCTCAGAGGTTCCAGTGAGTAAATGAGGACTAAGCGATGTATCTTAAAGGGAGATCCTCCGTGAGCACGCTGCGTTTGGTGTCTCCCTAACTGCTGTGATAGGCTCCTGTCAGGTCCCTAGAGCCGGGCGATAATCATTGACCTGATTAGCAGGGAACACTCCCTGTGTGCAGGCGGCTCAGGCGGAGGAGTGGAGGGTCTCCAGGGAACTGGAAAAGGCACCGAGTCCACTTGGGGATCTTGTCTTTTCCAGCCTGCTGGATGAACTACAACTAGACTATAATTTTCAAGGAGATTAGCCACCGTGTTAAGACAACAAAGGGCTTAAATAAATGTGCCTTATCCTGCTGTTTTGCAAGGTGCATTCGTGTCAGATGTCAGGTGTAGTGAAACAATTAATAGACAGATAGAGCTGATTTGTAAGAAAAGCCTAAGGCTGAAAATGTTTAAAGACAAAAGGGATTGCTGCACATGTCTTTGTCCCAAGCCTGGGACAGACTTCAACCTTTGTCTCAGTAAAATGAATTAAAAGGTTTATCACAGCCCTCCAGAGTGCAGTTCTGATTTATAAAAAGCAAGTATTCATATTAAATAAGCATGTTGGCAGTTTCTTACAGACATAAGGCATGGAGAAGAGAGCATTGCTTGTGTGGTTTTTCAAAGAATTTTAAGTTAGCATCACATTTACAAAAATGTTTGCCTTATACTATCAATCTGAGAAACATGGGAGAATACAACATTACACCTAACTGAATGATCTCTTCTTTCATCTGTTGAAATACTGATTTTCTAAAGCAAAAGTCTGAAGCAAGGGTACAAAAGGATTCAAAATGTCAAACATTTTAAATGGAGTTGTGTACCCTTTAACAACCTGTAGCAACCCACCCACTGACCACCTGAGAAACTCTTCAACATCTCTGAGTTTAAAAGTTACCAGTTCCCCAAAGAGATCTGATTCTCTCACATAACTAAATGCAGAAACCTCAAATGGCTAGTTTTTGATAGCTCTCACTTTCATAGGATAAAATTATTCCAATAACATAAAAAGAACAGATGAAAAAAGTCATTTGCATGTCTGGAGGGTGAGAAAAATCTCATTGCCAGAGAGAACACTGACAAATGTCCTCTCACAGTGATGCTGTGTGACATGTTCAGCATTCCTGTTTTTCCAAGCAGATCTCACTTGGGACATATGGCATTCCCTTGGTTTGTGTGTGTGTGTGTGTGTTGTGTGTGACAGGGCATTTGCCTTGTAATATTTTAATATTTACATATATCTTAGGAACATCTCAAATTTTTGATAAAAGGATGCACAAAACAATAATTTGTTTGCCTTTTATATTCCCAAGCAAATTTCAAAGAAGAGTATTTCATTAAAATACAAGATCTTTGATGAACTTCTTAGACCAGATGAAACTTCAGTGTAACTGAGTTATTTTAATAGGGCAGACACTTAAAGGTAAAAAAAAGATGCACCAGTCAGAAACTCCAGGAGGAGGGCCAGTCCCTGTCTCTTGCAGGGGAGGGCTACTGCTCCCTCAGCTGGTGGAGGGTGAGGGCTGAAGGTGCAGAAATTCAGCCAGCACACATCAGGAGAGGGAGAGGATCTTCTCCTCTGTTAAGCTGGAAGCCCATTATCCCATCACAGACTGACATTACAGTGTTCTAGTAGAGAAGAGGCTGCTTAAATCAAAACTGATGTTCATACACATAAATTGTAAATAAATAGTAAACAGGAAAGGTAACTCATAATTTCTTCTGTAAAGATCCTGACTGGCTGTTAGCACACCAGTTGATAAATGAAAACTGGATGGAGCCAATTGTTCTGACGTTGAGTTGGTCATGCCATGAAGGCACTCTGTTCTCATATGGGCCTAAGTCTCCTTCTGGGGATCTTAAACAGTGACCTCTTTTTAAAACTTTTTAAGCCTTACATCAGTGTTTATTTTCTTGAACCCTGTCCATTAGCAATTATCATCCCCAACTAACACAAGTAACCTCTAAATTAAGCCAACTTAGTGGCATAGGAGATAGTTTCTATCTGGAAAGCCCTGACTGCATATGATCACATTTATGATATTTCCAAATAACCAGCCTTGTTCTCATAGGATGCAAGAGTCCTTCACTCTAAATATTTTTTACAGAGGATGAGTGACTCTGCAGTAGTTTTTTTGGTAACCTGTGTGAAAAAAACAGTTGATTTTACATGGATGTCCACTCCTGAGGAACAAAGCAAAATACTACTGTTTGGGTTGTGGAGAGGATACAGTAGCAATAATTATAGGTACTGTATATTGAATGCTTGCTATCTGTTGATGCTTTGCATGCACACTAGCTGCAGCTATTGTCCATGAAATCCTTAGAACAACCCTATTAATAAGCAAGCATTATAATCATTTTTAAAAAATTTATTAAGATAAGGCTCTGAGAAGTTATGTAGATTTACCAATGCCACACAGCCAATACAGAGCAAACCCAGAATTAAACCTGGTTAACCAGAGACGGGTAAGATTCCTCAAGGGAGGAACAACCTAAGACAGGCACAGTCGCAGGGGGGCCATCAGGTGAGAATTTGGGGATCAACAGAGGTGAGGCTCAGAACCTCACCCCCCCTGCTTTGAGAGAAATCTTCTGCATCCGTGGATGTTTTGCTGCCCTTGTCTAGCCTGGATTAATACTTAGTCCATAGGCACACACCTGATCATCTGATCATCTACATTTGCCTTCTTACAGCACTAAACTATGTTTTCTACCTTTATCTTGCATCTACCTACCACTTCAGCATTTTATTAAAAATAAAAATAATAATAATAATAAAGGGAGAAATGTGGGATCCACATATAAATCAAGTATAAAAATCAAATGAATATTCATATTTGACCTGATTGTTTATAGTTCATAATGCGTGATCAAAACCGAAAGTTTCTGTAATGACTGCCCTTGTACTGTTCACCATGTAAGAACTTATTCACTATGTAAGAATTCATTCACCATGTAAGAACTTGTTCGTTTTGCTTCAGAAGATTGGAGACTGATGAGAATTAGGCTTGAGATGGATTAATGATTGTGCATTGAGCATTGACTCCCCTATACAGAATTTTATTGTTGTTAACAACCATTTGATCAATAAATATGAGAGATGCCCTCTCAAAAAAAAAACTGTAAAATCTTCATTCTTAGAAATCCCCAAACATTAAAGCCATTAAAATACCTTTTTCTAAAAGATAAGAACTGTCTTGTTTTAATGACTTGCAAAACACATTTTTTGTATCCTTATAAAAGGTGTTTTATGCCTGATAAAATAGCAGAAGAGTTTAGCTACAACAAATAGTTCAATATAGTTTAGTAGAAAATGAAATTCAACAATAGAAACTTTAACCCTAAAAGTGAACTCAATCTCAAACTTCCAAATGATGTAATTTCATTAGCAAAAATTGGCCAATTACAAAATATTTTCTCTTTTACAATTCATTCTCCCTCTTCCTCAAAAATGGTAATTATTATTTTAAAAATGACCCTAGTTTAGTGCACAGCATCTCAAGAATACTTAATAAAAATACATTAAGCCAAATTTTGATGATTTCTGATATTTTAGTGCTCTAAGAAAAGTAATGTAATGCCAAAGCTCAAAAGAACTATGGAGCTGAAAAATTCATTTCTCATTTGTTCAGGCTTTATATGAAAGTCTCTTAAACCTTGCATGAATCCCACCGTTCATATGGTCTGTTGAAATTCTCAGACACATTTAAACCCTTACAGAGAAATGTTGTCACCATGCTTTTCCAGGGCTCCTAATAAAAATTCTACCTAAAAAGAAATGATGATAACTCAAATTAATTCAGCCTTTAAACTTTGCCAAGAAATTTCCCACCTATTATTTCATTTGATTCTTACAGGAATCTTTTGAAATAGGTTACAATAAGTATTTTACTCAAATTTTAGTGATGGGAAATTAGGAATTTCCAGGCAAGGTGTATTGCCCTCCACCATGTCTAGCAAATATGTTTGTTTGAGTAATGTTGTAGTCAGTAATGTAACTGAATATCTACATGGAAGCCACTCTATTTGTTTTTTCATCTGTTTGGGTTTGTTCTGAAGAGCTAGAATTGTGATTTTGATGTGATGAAGGAAAAATTACTCTGAGCTAGTAGGAAGCTTGTGATTTATAGATATAGGAATTCCACCACTTAGATTTTTCATAGACTTTTCTTGATCTTGACTCATATTAAGATAATTGCTTAGATGTTGGTCATATGAGTCCTATATGAATTTGGTCTTGCTTCTCTGTGAACTTCAGATTCAAATATTACCTCTCTACACCTTTTTGTGATGATTTAATTATCAGGAGAGAGGAAATCCCAGAACACTACTGCTGATTGTTTTAAATATGCAAAAAAAAAAAAAATGAAGAGCAGCCTAACAAAGAAATAACACATTGATCTTTCAGCAGCAGTAGCCAGTTAATACTAAGATGGGAATGTTTGCTGAATGCTAATAGATTCTCATATATGATAAATATTTTTGTTTATGTATGGAAAGGGCATGGAAAGGCTGAATCTACCAGCCTTTAAGGTAAATTTTCACAATTTTGAGGCTAGCTTCACTCACATATATGCATGAATCTTAGACACTATGAAATTCTGGAAATAAAGCCAGACTAGATATCAGAAAGCTGGGGTTATATTTACTGGCACTAACTAGCTTTATAAACCTTGGCCATTTTAAAAGCTTCCAGTTAATAATTTCTTTGGAAATTGTGAGCAAATTAGGCTATATATCTTTAATCTGAGATCTGAGTTAACTACAAAATTATGTTATCTATTTGGCTAAAAAACTGTGATATCCTCTCTACTTAATTCAGAAACAATAAGACAGCCAAGAAGAAAAGGTTGTATATGAATACACATTTTCATCACTCTCCCATTCTGCCCTTAACAGTTTTATTTTATTATATAAAGTGCATTAGGGGAAT